CCACTTCGATTTGAGCGTCATCATTGCTGAGATTGACAAACACCACCTGATCGGCGGTCATCTCCAGGATCAGATCATAGAACTTTTGCCGGCGTTCGGTGGACGGAAAGTATATTTGAAAGTCATCCGAGTTGTGATGGACATACAAATAGGCGCAGCGATCATCTCGCTTATAAAGACTGACGGATTTGATCTTGGACGCAACGAAAAGGAAGTCATGGAGTTTCTTGCAAGCATTCTTTGCGTGCGCCAGACAATTGTTCACAATCTGAATGGACTTTTCATCCGCATCCATGTTGATGGTCACATAACTGGGCATATAGATTTTCTGCGGCTCGAGGATCTAGAAATTAAATATAAAATTTTATAACAAAGTTAAAGATAACTTAAAATCGCTTTACACATAAGTTCAAATAATAACAATAAAACAAAATAATAATATATAACAAAAATAATAATAAAAGCATAAATAACTATAAAACTATTAAAAAAAAAAAAAAAAAAAATTAAAAATAATATAATAGTAATTACAAAACTACAAAATATTTGATGTTAGTTATTAAGCAGGTAAGTGAGGATAATTGTTTAAATATTTTTAAAATAATAATTAGTTAAAAATATCAACTCAATGTGACTAGCGCGGTAATTATAAGTGTGCACTTGTAGCGCTGGGATATTAAATAAATAAATAAAAAAAATTAAAAATAATATAATAGTAATTGAAAACTACAAAATATTTGATGTTAGTAATTAAGTAAGTAAGTGAGGAAAATTGTTTAAATATTTTAAAATAATAGTTATTTAAAAGTATCAACTCAATCTGACTAATAATAAATAAATAACAAAAAAAGTTAACCATAATATTTAAGGTACAGAGATCAGGAATACCAACCAGTATGGGAAAGCGTATGCTGTTCTTCACCTCCTCGGTGTTGGTGGCCTCCAAGAAGAAGTCCATCCAGAACTGGAAGACCTGCTCCTCGATGGCGGGCAGGCGTTCCTCGGGCTTCTTGCGAAACCGGTGAATAAGAGAGATATTGCCGATGGTGGACTTGAGATACCAGTTGGGCGGCTTCAGCTTGAACATGCACTCGGCGGCCTGAATCGCTTTGGCATAGTCCTTGGCCAAAACGGAGATCTCGAAGAAGGTGGCCACGTCCCAGTATTCGCTTAATGAAGATAGACTGCCCTTTTTGCCAATCAAATTGTTCAGGGTCATGCCAATGTGCTGCAGCTCCTCCGTATTGGTGAACTCCTTACCCTCGATGACCAGCAAGGTGGCCAGATTGATGCCCGCGTATTCGTTTGGCTGCACCTCGAAGCTTTCGCGGTACCACTTGATGGCGTGCGCCAGACTGGTGGCATCCGTGTAGTCAGACTCCACGAAAATGTCCTTGTAGATGCGACCGCACAGGCAGAGCATGTCCGGAAAGCGATTCTCCTTCTTCTCGAGCGCTTTTAGGGAGGACTCCAGTGCCTTCTCCCGATCGCCCTTTCGATTCCTTCGGTTTAAAGCGAAGGCGTACAGGAAACTCATGTTGCCCGTCTCCACGTACTTCCGCGTGTTGGGTATGTTCTTCAAATCGTTCACCAGTCGCACCATCGCATCGTAGTCCTGCACATCCCTCAGCGAACACATAAAGCTGTGCACCACCTCGCCGGACAGGACATGCGGATCGTCCAGCCGCTTCCGCATCTCGTGCAAGATGCTCTGAAGCTTGACGGCATTGGTGGCGTACGTGTCCCGCGCCGTTCGCATGTCGCTGAGAAATTTCTCACGCATGTGGGCTCTGTAAGTAACCGAAAATAGCTTGGTTTAATTTGTGGGTACATAAATAAGGGAACAAGAAAACATTATCTATGTTCTGGGGGAAGAACTAATTGATTTTGTTTTTCTGGCAAACATAAAGAGTAAAACAATAATTACTTTCTTGATAAATTAGCTATTTTTAATATTATTAAATATAATTATTTTGATATTACCATTATAATCAAGGCCAATACTTTCATGATAAATTAGCATTTTTATATATTAAACTTAATTAAATTGGATTTAATAAAGGGTAAACAATCAATACTTTCTTGATAAATTAGCAATTTTTTTATTATTAAATTTAATTATTTTGAAATTACCATTATAATCAGGGCCAACACTTTCATGATAAATTCCCAATTTGTATATTATTAAACTTAGTTAAATTGGATTTATCACTATAATCAGGGCAATACAATTTATTAGAAAAACGTCAATTATAAAGCCAATTTTTCTCTTTAAAATAAATAGAATTTCCGATCGGTGTTGCCTATCAAGAAATTATTATAATTATATGCACTTTTTTCCTACAACCAATATATTAAATCGAAATGATTCATTTTACATGCAAATCGTGACTTATTGAGCCAATCTCTTGCAGGGAAAATGTAAAAATAGAGTAATCTGAATGGGGTCAGATGACTTGAAAAGGGGACTCACTTCGACTGGATCTCCACATCCTGCAGCTTCCTCTTGAGGCGCCACTGCAGGGTGGGCACCCGTCCCTCGGCTGCGGGCTCCTTGTTGCTGTTGGGCTGGTTGGTCAGGTGGCAGGAATTGCTCTCCGCATTCAGTTTGTAGCTGAGGAACAGGTAGTTGGCACACGAGAGCTGCAAGGGCGAAGAGGTGAATCTAATTTACTGACCGCCACTGTGAATGCAGGCCACACTGCGTTGGTGTACGCCGCCGTTGCGCGTGTGTGCGTGCGCCTCTTTGAGTGTTTGCGTGGGCGTGCTCGCATTTGTTATTGTTATTGCTTCGGCCGACGCTTTTGTTGTTTTATGGCCGCGGCCAAAACAAAAATAACGAAAGCGTTTCGACGGAAATACAGTCGAACTTCTATGGTTTGAATTTCGAAATATGGTATACAAGAAATTTAAAAAACTTTCGGAATAAATTTGAAGAAAATAATAAAATATTATCTTAAAAACTTTTTTTTTTTAAATTTGTAGTAGTTGCATAAATAAAGCTGAGTTAAAATTTTTTTTTTTTATATATATCTATTAGTTTTTAAGTACTATAAAACTTTTCATACAAATTTTCCGATGATAAAAACACTAACGAAAAAAAGTTAAAACAAAAACAGAAATTCTGTATTACTTCAAAAGTGCATCCTATACTCAAAAAATTATCTTTAAAACTGTTTTTTGAAATTTGACTTTTTGGATCCCAGAATTTTAAAGTAGTTGCCTAAATAAAGCTAAGAGTTAAGACTCTTTTTTTTAAATATATCTATTAGTTTTGAGGTACTGTAAAACTTTTCATACAAATTTTCGGATGATCAAAACACTGCAAAACGTTTGAAAAAAAAATTAAAGCGAAAACCGAAATTCTGTATTACTTCAAAAGTGCGTACTATACTAAAAAAACGATTCTAGAACATCGAGGCTTGACTTTAAGTTATTTCTTGATCAAAAAAGAAATATCAAAACTTGATAGAAATTTCTAGCAAACGAAGTTCACCATACAGAGGCTTGACTGTCGAAAGATCGGCAACAACAACTAGTCCAGGAGTCCGTTAGACTGCCGTTTCTCCCCACTCGCTGGTCATGGCGTTTATCTTATCGGAAGCGGAGTCCCGATCACGCCCGCAGATGTTTGACCAGGCACACCTGGTGGTCACACCAAACACACCTTGAGACTGAGTGTCTGCTTGGACTCGACGTCGTTGTAGATGAGGATGTTCTCCTTCATGCCGAAGCTCTCGCGGACGCCGTAGTGATAGGAGAGCGGTCGCTGCTGGGTGAGGATGCTCAGATCGATGACGGCCACATCGGCGTTGTAGAACTTGTCCAGCACATTCGTCTCCCCGAAGTCCAGGCGCTCGAACTGCAAGGATGGCACACAATATACATATACCATATTTCCCATTGTATAACCCATCTGGCGCACCTGAACCCGCTGAAAATTGGCGCCAGCCGACTGCACCGCCTGCTTGATCTCCTCCAGCGCGCAGATGCGATCCTCCAGATGGTCGCCCACCGCCGTATCGATTACACACACCACATCCATCGCTGCTGCCTGCGATCCCATTGGAAATCGGATTTGGATTCGCTTCGATCGCAGCTATTCTTGGCACTAACTAATCTGTTTTTGGACGGATTTCCACACTCTACGCTCGTTCTGCCAGGCGGACGCGCACCTCAGTGGCACAGGGGCTCATTACCACGTACTTGCTGCAACTGCATCGCGTTAATTGCCGCGTAACGAATAATTATCAATAAATAAAGAAACTTGTGGAAATGTGCAGTGCGGTATGACCGTGCGAGGACTGCCGGAAAAATACCAAAGGAAGCCTGAAAAATACCAGATTGAGGGGCTAGCGGAAGACTTTGCTGGAACTTGGGCGCCAACTCCAACTCTCTTTTAAAAATTCACAGCTGTAATCAAAAATTTTAAAACGGATATTTTGATATTTTTGAAATTTTAAAAACATTTTTTACCTTCGTCAAGTTAATACTATACAAAAATACTAAAAAACAAAATATAAAAATGACTATTAATTTAAAAAACTATGTTTTAAAAATGTTTTACGTTTTTAGACCTTAAATCATTTTGAATATACAAAAAAAATACTCAATTTGGTAAAATCTAATTACAAATGACTTTTATTAAACGCAAATATTATTTTTACACTTCTTTCATTCAAAAATTCACAGCTGTAATCAAAAATTTTTAAACAGATATTTTCGAAACAATTTTAAAAACATTGTGTTATATTCGTCCAGTCAATAATTATACAAGTGCTCAAAAAGCCAAATATAAAAATTACTATAAACTTAAAAAACTATTTTAAAAACATGTATAGCGTTTATAGACCTTAAATCGTTTTGAATATATAAAAAAGTACTCATTAAGGTAACATCTAATTACAAATGACTTTTATTAAACGCAAATATTATTTTTACAATTCTTTCATTACAGTTTTTAAAAACTTTTTGCTTAACCTTAGGTAAAAACTGTGATCTTAACTAGCGTACTCCTTGAGTATCGAGCCCGCGATGACCAGCCGCTGGATTTCGGAGGTGCCCTCGTAGATCTCGGTGATGCGCGCGTCCCTGTAATGCCGCTCGGCTGCCATATCGGTGACATAGCCCATTCCGCCCAGGATCTGGATGCACTGATGCGAGCACATGGTGGCCGCTTCCGAGGCAGCCAGTTTGGCCATGGCCGCCTCCTTGGTGTATGGCTGCTTGTTGTCCTTCAGCCAGGCGGCGCGCCAGGTGAGCAGACGAGCCGATTCCATGGCCAGCGACATGTCGGCGATCTTCTGCTGGATGGACTGCAGCTTGGCGATGGGTTTGCCAAAGGCCTGTCGCTTCTGAGCGTAATCCACGGCCAGTTCCAAGGCTGCCTGGCCAATGCCCAGTGCCTGGCCAGCGATTCCAATGCGTCCGGCGTCCAAAGTTTGCATGGCTATCTTGAAACCGAAACCAGGCTGGCCCAGAATATTCTCCTTGGGCACTGCGCAATCCTCGAAGATCAGCTGGCAGGTGGAGGAGCCACGGATGCCCAGCTTGTCCTCCTTCTTGCCCAGCGAGAATCCCTTGGTGCCCTTGGGCACTATGAAAGCGGAGATGCCCTTGTGCTTCAGCTGCTTGTCGGTGGTGGCAAACACGATGGCTGCCTCCGCCTCGAAGGCGTTGGTGATCCAGGCCTTGGTCCCGTTGAGCACCCAGTGATCGCCCTTGTCGGTGGCCATCGTGGACGCAGCTCCGGCATCCGAACCGTTTCCAGGCTCCGAAAGGGCAAAGCAACCCACTCGTTCGCCGCTGGCAAAGGGCGTGATGTAGTCTGCCTTCTGGGCGTCGTTGCCGAAGGAGAGAAGGGGTCCCAGGTAAAGGGAGTTGTTCACCGACATGATGACGCCAGCAGAGGCGCATCCCCGAGAGATTTCCTCCATGGCAATGGCGTAGGCCACATAATCCAGACCGGTGCCGCCTGTAAGAATCAGTAAGGGATATAAGGCAATGCTGGGTGATTATTAGACCTCGGATTTTGCATATTTGCATGTTTTTATAGGATAAAGTTAGTTCAATTCCGAAAATACCAAAGTTCGTTTCAAGAAAAATATAGTTTAAAACTAATGGCATATTTTATTTTTTTTGCATAAAATGCATATGGGCACTTCCAAAATGTCGCTCGGGACATTTGCACAACTTTAAAGTTGAAAAAAAATTGTAAAACTATGGATTTTAATTTGAATTATGGGCTTTTCTTTTCACTCTTCCCAAGCTCTATTTTTGGTAAAAATCTTGATTTTGTACCACTTTTAGTTTTTGAGATATCGGTAAAAAACTGCCGTATTCGCTCGGGACAAAAATAGAAGTGGATTTCGGGGAAGTTCATTTAACACTAGATATTAGCGAATTCTGATGGAATATTTGAATGCGATTTTTTTAGAATGTTGTTCAAACATGTCGCTGTGAAATGCTTTTGGTTTTACTCAAAAATTCTTTGCCGTTTTTTTTTATGCAGTTTCAACCACATTCGCTCGGGACATGTCGCTCGGGACATTTTTTCCGACTGTTTTGTAAAGCGGATTTCTTTACCTCTATCTCTCAATTGCTGGATGTTTTGCTTTTAACTTAATAGTTCAACATGTGAATGAAGCATTCAGTACAGAAAAATGTCACATATTAGCATTCCTATAGGATAAATTAACAACAGAAGACAGGTCCAAAAAATAACAAAAAAATAGCCAAAAACTGATTTTTGCGTATATTGGTGGAGTTTGTCATAAAAATAATCAAACTATACTCCAAATTTGTAGTTAAGCTCAGTATCCAACTAATTAGAAACTAATATCGGGGCAAAATCATGTGGAAATATGTTTTATTCAAGTTTCAAGGTTTTTGGCTTGGTGGACTTTTTTTTGGAAGTGCCCATATGCATAAAATATGCCAAATATATGCAAAATATAAAATAAGCTTAACTATTCAAAATTGACCATTTCATAGCCAAACTAATTTACCCGAAGAAAATTGTTTGTTCCTTTTCGTCCTTTCTGAGGTATCTAATTTTTCCAGAATTTAAGGAAACCCTATTTATATTTCCAACGAGTAGGCGAGAAGGGGCAAAAATAGTAAAAGGGGCAGAATGCTCCTTTAAATTGCTCGCCGTGTTTACTGAAGGTTCATTAAAAATGTGAGCCTCCAGTTGTTCGCATATATTTTGCATATTTTATGCATATATTTTTTGCATATATTTTGCATATTTCCGATATGCATCCGAATTTATTACATTTGAAAAATAAGACACCTACCTAGAAATTTTGGTAAAAACCGGACCAAAAATGGACAAATATGCAAAATTCGAGGTCTAGTGATTTAGTGATATTAGTTACCCAACTCCTCGGGAATCGCCACCGCCATCACGCCCAGTTCGCCCATCTGGCGGATCTGCTTTTCCGGATACAGGTGCTCCCGATCGAACTTGGCCGCATTTCCACTCAGCTCGTTGTTGGCGAAATCCCGGCAGGACTTCTGCAGCATCTGGTGGGTTTCGGAGAGGGCCGATAACGAAGCAATTTGCCGCACATTCAAAGATCTGCGGGCTAAACAGGATTATCAATTTTAGGGATCTTACTTATATTTTGTTAGGTGGGGCTCAAAGTCCACCGGCTGTTTTCTCTTACCAATGTTTAACGAGCGGGTGACTACGGACTGCATGGTAGCTTGGTTTCGTTTATTACTTAAATATATTAAAGATATTGCAACAAAGACGGATAAAATTAAGTTTTAAAATAAATTCGATTTTATAAAAAATTAAAAACTGCCAGTGTGACCAGAGGCAAGCACCGGCTTTGTTATGTGCGTCTGTATGTAACAAGTGGTTTCTACAGGGTGACTATTGTTATGGTAGATTTATTCAAGAAAAATACTAAATCAACAACCGTTGATTGTTTACCACTTACGGTCCTACTTATTTTGGACTAACAATTGTTGATTTGTTTTGTTTTGTTAATATTGCTAAAACATTTCAAGGATGTCGCGGAACTACGAGTATACGGAAACCCTTAAGATAGAGCCCCTTGATCTTATTTACGAGGATGACATGGAATGTGAGTACCAACGGAATTCAATAGTAAGTTAACTAAACATTCCTGGTTTTTTAGTTTTGGACATCGAACCACCGCCTGAAAAAGAGGAAAACGAAGAGCCGGTAAAATTAAAGCGACTGGTTTGCAATCGAAATGGCTGCACTTACTCCACCGACAGACGCAGGGATTTGAAACGCCACAGGCGCTCCGGAAAGCACGAGCACGAGGATTACCAATCCGACTCCGAATCCGATGTCGATCGATCCCTGTTCACCTGCAAGGTGTGCGATTACAAGACGGCCAAGCGATTCTGCTTTCAGCGGCACAAGGAATCCCGACGCCACCTCATGAAGGAACTGGAGGCCTGCGAACAGCTGATGGACGAGGCGGATAGGGCGGAAATTCACAGGAAGCGCAGGAAAAGAAGGGAGGAGATGGAACCAGAGGCTTCCGATTCTGATGTATCTCAGGAAAATTACACAACCCCGTTAAAATCCTTCCAGAACAAGAAGGAGGCACCACAGAGCCTCCTGGAGCCCAGCGACTACATAGAGTATTTATCCCAGGATGCGGAACACTTAGTGGAGGAGACAGAGGATGAATATCCCACCTTCAAGCCAAGCAACTCCACCTTGGAGTGCGACGTCTGTGAGTACAAAACAGCCAGGAAATTCGCCTTTGTTCGCCACCTGCAATCATCGAGGCACCTGGCCAAAATGGAAGAGCGGGATAATGGCTATGAGGCGGAAAACCAGCTGGAGGAGATCGATGGCGATTTGGAGGAGTTCGACGAGCAGGATATTCATCATGAGCTGGAGGAGGATATAAATGCCATGACACATCAAAATAGTATAGAGGAGATAAATACCCTGAAAGAGGAGAACGTAATGGTGGAGATTGATGCCCTGGAGGGGCAAAATGGTCTAGGGGAGATTGGATCCCTGGTGGAGATCGATGGGCTGGACCAAACAGAACCCAGATTCGATGTGATTGAATATGCAGCTGCAGAAGAAAATGTTTACGAGGAGATCGTTTACCTGCCCACCGAAGAGCATCAGGAGGATATCTGTTACTTTATAGCGCTCGAACAATGACTAGTCGTACGAATTTCCTATTAAATAGTTCTATTTATTTTCTTGACCAGATTTCGCATCTTCTATTACTTTTATCTTTGTACAATGTACATGATTCCTTGACTCTCGTTTTGGAGTCAATAGTTTCTGAGGCAATTGAATGCCAAACAGATTTGTTAACGTGTTATTATTAATAATACATATATGTAAGTACATAAACCTTTTTCGAAAAAAACGTAGTTTTACAAAAAGAGGGTAATGAGGAACAAAGACAGTGTTGGGAAAAAATTTTTTGAGTTATCTAGGGAAAAAATTTACATTCAGAATCGTTTCTATTTTGCTTTTTACATTTTTTTAATATTCTTAAAACATTAAATTTATGTAGTTTATCTGATTTCTTGAACACCATACTTTTAACTCCTAAAATATACCATGTAAAATCAGCCACTTATTATTTTTGTTTGGTTTTCTAGCTTTACCAACCAGTTCCCAAATTTAATTACTATTCACTATTTTCTATATTTTTCTTTAATTAAAATTGATTTGTTGCAAAAAAATTAAGAATATTCCTGATAGCTTGTACGATTTGTTAAACCAAGTAGGCTTTCAGTAAATTTATTTAAATCGAAATTTGACCTTAAATATAGGGAAAACATTTATTTTTTTAATGTTTAGCCAAGAGAAGATTACAAATATATTTATAAGTTCATTTACAGTTTATTTAAAATGCTTGAGTTAACAAGAAAATCCTGCACAAACTTGTGACTGTACGAATCCTTTCGTGAGCGACTGTGTATCTGCCAGTTTTCCGTTCTGGTTTTGACAGCCCGCTTTTCATCTCTGCGCACATTCGACGCGCACGCACTGGAACTTGTTTAACGTTTTTTATGTTTTTCACTGCACAACTTTGTAAATTCAGCACACAGCAAATAGAACAGCGCACTATTATTTTCGAGTGTCCTGTGGGGCACTTTCAATTCCACGAGCACGGAGAACAGGAAAAGCACCGCCGCAGGAGTCCCGTTTGTTGTCCTATTGATTTGCCCCCACTTTTGGAGCCTTTCGTTTCACCCTGCACACCGTTTTCCGCATCCACCGCCTGCTGCGCCCGCGAAAGAGAGGTAAAAACAAAATGCAAGTGCTCCCTGGGCAAATATAAACAAAAAAGAAGCAGTGATAACAGCAGCAGGAGCAAAAAGAGAGTGGGGAGAGAGCGAGAACCGCTCTTCCGATCCCAACCTGTTAATGTGTGGGTGTAGTGTGAGCATCCGCGTTCTTATCTCCTCCCGACTCTCTCGCTCTCCGGCGATCTTTTGATAATAATTCGTGCACTGGTGTGCGTGGGAGTCTATTCAGGGGCCTATAAAAGAGCCGTTCATTCACTACGAGCCCCACAAAGTGTTAACGAGAAGCTGCCGCCGGATCTGCCAGGTGGAAAAGCACCGTGAGTCTTCGACCAGCAGGATTTTCCCATTACTAAAGTGTTTCGTGCCTGGAAACTGAGTGTTCAATTACTAGAACTTGTAAAAAAACGGTTAAAGAAAGTGATCTAATCCAATAGAAATTTTAAACCATATCTAAAGGCTCAACAAAAATATATAAAGAATATCCTGTTAAAAAAAAATCCAACTTTTTACCAAAAATAGTGAACTAATAGTGATTAGACATAAAATTAAATTGACGCAGACACAAATCTTAATGGACTTTGACTAATTTAAAAATTTTTAAATTGAATAATGTTTTATAACTGATTTAAATTTAAAAAAAAAACCTTACACATTTTCTTTATTTTCTAAGTTTTAGCTGGAAAATGTAAAATTTACTAAATTTAAATTTTGAACGTAAAGGTTAAATACTTTAAACTAATTAAAATTTCTAAATGTACTGCAACTGACGAACAGAACAAGTTCATTAATTCAATGAAAATTTGTGTGCATCCACTGGATTTTAAACAAACTATATAGGCCATGTTATGTTTACCACACCGCTTTTATCGCGAGCCAAACAAACCGTTAATAAAAATAGCTGAAATAATAAAAGAACCAAAAAGAGCGCAATCATCGTGCGTCCACAATCTTTAGATTGGGAATATTAAGTGGGAACTGATTGGGATAGGAACGAATCTGACCACTTTCCAGTAATATATTTTCTTTATGACGTTTGTAATCCATTGTAATCCCTTTACAGCGGCACCTGTACAGGAAATAGACCCCGACCAATGTTAGGAAACCGGTAGAATTAGAAAACGACCAAAATGCAGTCAATGAAAGCCGATGAACTGCCGGAGAATCCGCGCGAGACGTCGAATATTTTCTCATCCTTGATGTTCTGGTAAGTTATCGTACTTAAATTCTAGAAATTCTATTATAAATCATAACTTTATCCCTAGCTTTGCCATGCCCACATTCTTCAAGGGGCGCAAAAAGACCCTGGACGAAAATGATTTATACCGCGCCTTACAGGAACACAGATCAGGTGAGTTTTGCTAGGACTTGGTCAAAGCTCTCCAGTGCGACAGCACTCAAGAAGACCTCGGCATAATTAATGGGCTCGGATTCAGCCCAAGATTATCTATGGCTATATCGATAATCAAATTAATTGAATTATTAAATGGAAATCGCTGTGCGACTGTGATAAGCTGATTTGCCCTCAAGGAGTTTTGAAAGAGAGAAGAATTTCCTTATCAGCACGTATGCCAGATTAAGCCATACGTGACGTCATGTAGCAATAGATTTTACTATGTGACTATATCCCATTTATTAGTCACCTAGTAAGAACACCTGATACCATGCCCTCTTCAATTCGTGGGTGCAATGATCATTCGAGTTTCGATTTCATCGCCCTTTGCCCGGTTTTCGAGTGGTTCCTGAAGATGGACATTAGTCGCGTGTGAAATCCCTGATACCCGACGTGTCTAGAACGCTTCCTTGCCGTCCCAACTCTATATAGTCTATATAGTTTATATAATCAACTAAACCGCATATTTAGCGCACTATCTTTCGCATTCAGACACTCCCCAAATGAAGTGCCGGGGAGACACTTCAAGGCACCCGACGATTACGATTAGATAGGGCTTAGCATGCGCCCACTTTTTGTGGTTGTAAAGCCTTTCGGTTATTCCGTGAGTTCGAAGGATCAGCGCACAACATTGAAGGGCTCTTCTTTTAAAGGGGAAATCGCGATTAGATTTCCCTGCATATCACGTCTCGGTTATTGCTATTTGCACCATATACAACTATTTCATTGAGATCATTTAGCGGAACTATAGGTGCGTCTAATCCGGACGATAAGATAGCCCTTGGATACGAGCATTCTGCACCATCATCCGTTCTCATTGAATTATACGATCGCCATAGATAGCGGTATCCAATCTGGGACTTTTAGACCTTTGATTTCCTCATTCAAAAACTTTGGAAGTGCCCCGAAAAGTGACAAATGAGATATCTCTGACAACGTCCGCTGGCCACAATTAATTGAATTTACTGCCCAAAATATTTGATAACACTTCTCGAACACCCCCGATATTGTATACGCAATTAGGTGCTCTGGCTTATTTACTTACTTATGATAAATGGGCCCCTAGAGATACTCTATTGAGTGGATTGTGCTTATGCAATGCTAACAATAATGGCACATATTTGGGCAAATATGTACAGATTCAAGCAATATCAAATGTCAAGCTCGAGCTTTTGTTTTTCGTTGCTAATCGGTGTGCAATCTAAGGCCCCTAGAAGCTGATACTTATAAGCCTTGCGGAAGTGCCGGAATCAGAGTGCCCATTTGGGGAGGGTAGTGGCCTGGGGAATCTCCCAGTCGATAAGATCGATAGTAGGTAATGCAGCTGGTCGGGATTTGCTTTTGTTGCCAGCCATAACTCACAGTTAAACCAAAGCACAAGAAATGACTATTTACTGGATTTATTACCCTCGGTTACGGTGGAGATGATAGCAATAGGTACTATTATAACCCTCAGATATAGTAGCTAGCTATAACAACAATCGTTTATTTCCGGACATGACATTCCTATTAACGCTAATCCTTTGTTTGTTAACCTTTGTATTGCTTACTTTCCTATGAAATAAAAGAATGTTGTAGAGCCTTTATTTCTACCAAAACTATGACGAGAAAATGTCTATCTCTGAAAGATGCCTATCACCAGCAAGATAACATTAATTTTACGCTTTTCATGACATGAACCGTCATACAAATCTGTATATTATCTCTAATATTTTCGCAACTTGACAATTTGAAGGGTTTGTACAATGATAAGTGTCATAACATAGTCAATTTGAATGATGATAAGCTCAAAAATAGATCGCGCATATATTTCTGGGTGCGAATACAAACAATAAAGTATTCAATAAATATATTTATTATATCTATTTTGTTTACGCATTCCTTTTTGAGAACTTTTAGTAATAAAATAAATTTTAATACAAAACATAATACTTAGAATACTTTCACTTAGAAGCTTTTGGTTATTAGAGCTAAAATAATTGTAGGTAGAATAATTTATAGGTAGTAAAAGCTTGTTTATTTTGGTAGCCTCTTTAAACACTGCAGTATCATCTGCCAATTACATGCCAACATGCCTTGTTGTTCCGTCAGGGTGAATTTATTATCTGGACATGGACTGGGTGCACCTGGTTGATATCTCAATCTCTTTACCTTCCAGATCACCTGGGCAGCAAGCTGAGCGAGGCGTGGGAGAAGGAGGTGGAGAAGAAGCGCAAAAAGAAGAAGACCCCCAGCCTGCTGAAGGCCTCGATGAACGTGTTTGGCTGGCGCCTGGCAGGTCTAGGCCTGGTCCTCTTCATCTTGGAGATCGGTTTCCGGTGAGTCCACGCCCACCCCCTGACATCTGGCTGATTTATAAGCCATTTCTTATAACCCTACCCCTTTCAGAGTTACCCAACCGCTGTTCCTGGGCGGTCTGGTGGCCTACTATGCGGACGCGAGCAACCAGGAAGGCGATAACCAGACGAAGGCATATCTCTACGCCCTGGGCGTGATCTTGACGAGCGCCTGCAACGTGCTCTTCATGCATCCCTA